ATCAGAAATGATGAGTTTGTGTCGTTTGTAGGGACATGGATGAATCTGGAAAACATCATCCTCAGCAAACTGACACAAGAACAGAAAATGAAACACCGCATATTCTCACTCATAGGTGGGTGATGAAAAATGAGAACACATGGACACAGAAAGGGGAGTACTAAACAGTGGGGTCTATTGGGGGGAAAAGGGGAGGGCCAGTGGGAGGGGGAGGTGGGGAGGGATAGCCTGGGGAGAAATGCCAAATGTGGGTGAAGGGGAGAAGAAAAGCAAAGCACACTGCCATGTGTGTACCTACGCAAATGTCTTGCATGCTCTGCTCATGTACCCCAAAACCTATAATCCAATAAAAAATTAAAAAAAAAAAACAAAAAAACTCCTATAAGTCTATGAGAATCCCCTGAGGAGCCTTTACAGATACCAATTAAATCAGAATATCTGGGAATGGACCAGAATAGGAATCTTTTCTTTTTTCCTTTTCTTATTTGAGACAGGGTCTAGCTCTGTCATTCAGGCTGTAGTACAGTGGCACAATCTCAACTCACTGTAACCTCTGCCTCCTCCCAGGTTCAAGCCACCTGAGTAGCTGGGATTAGAGGCCTGCATCATCATGCCCAGATAATTTTTGTATTTTTAGTAGAGATGGTTTTTGTCATGTTGGCCAAGCTGGTTTTGAACTCCTGGCCTCAAGTGATTCACCCACCTCGGCCTCCCAAAGTGCTGGGATTAGAGGCATAAGCCACCGCGCCGAGCCTCTAGAGTAGGAATTTTTTTAATCCCCCAGGATTTGAGAACCACAGCTCCACCCACTATTTCTAAAACTTGCCTAACAGAAATATTTTAAAAACAGATTCTTCGGCTGGGCACAATGACTCATACCTATAATCTCAGCACTTTGGGAGGCTAAGGCAGGAAGATCTCTTGAGCCCGGGAGTTCAAGTCCAGCCTGAGTAACATAGGGAGACCCTGTCTCTACAGGAAAATTAGCAGGCAAGGTGACATGCTCCTGTAGTCCCAGCTACTTGGGAGGCTGAGGTGGGAGGATCACTTGGGCCTGGGAGGTCAAAGCTACAGTGAACCGAGATCATACCACTGTACTTCTGGGTGACTGAGCAAGACCCTGTCTCAACAACAATGACAAAATAGATTCATGTTTGCCAACAGATAATTCCGTGGGGGGGCCCCCCCGGAAACCTGTAGCAGTCACATATTCCTCCAGATGAATCCTATTGTCAATGATTAGCAGCAAAAGGATGAGATGAGAGCCCAGCTCTCAGGTGTGGAGAACTGCTTAGCAGTTTCCCATCAGGTTAAACATTCACTTACCAAAACCTAGCCATCCCCACTCTTGAGTATTCCCAATACAAATAAGTGCTTATGGCCAGGTGCAGTGGCTCATTCCCGTCCCAGCACTTTGGAAGGCCAAGGAGGGTGGATCACAAGGTCGGGAGATCGAGACCATCCTGGCCAACATGGTGAAACCCTGTTTCTACTAAAAAAAAAAAAAAAAAAAAAAAATGTGTATACAAAAATTAGCTGGGCATGGTGGCACATGCTTGTAGTCCCAGCTACTCAGGAGGCTGAGACAGGAGACTCACTTGAACCAGGGAGTCAGAGGTCGCGGTGAGCCGAGATTGCACCATTGCACTGCAACCTGGGCTAGAGCGAGACTCCGTCTCAAAAAAAGAAAAAGAAATTAGTGCTTATGTGCACCAAAGACAAGCACGAAGATATTCATAGCTTTATTCAGAATGTCCCCTGAACTGAAAACATCCCAAATATCTATCCATGGGAACATGCACAGATAAATTGTAGTATTTCCAGGCAAGGGACTACCAGGCCACGGTGAAAAACAATGAAGTACTGATACATACAGTAGCGGTGTGGATTGATGAATTTCACAGACATACTGTTGAATGAGAAGAGCCAGGCACGCTTGTAGCGAATTCCACTCATCCATGGTGATGGAGATCAAAATAGTGGTTACCTCTGGATATGTGTGTATAAATTCTGCTCCCTAACAGGATGCAGGGAAAACTTCCCAGCATGGCAGTCAGAGCCACAAAGCAAGACTTACCTGCATTAGAGACTCACCTGAGAGGCCTTTTCTTTCTTGCATGCTTGTTTGTTCATTTGTTTATTTGAGATAAACACTATACATTGAGGTGTACACAATGCAGTGAAAAAGAGTACAGCCCAACGAATGTTTACATGTTTACACTTAGTGTTGAACTTCATGCAAAGTGCTGTTCTAGGCCCCTGGAAAGGGAAACCAAGGTTATAAGACCCTGTCGGTATGAATTTCATAATCTGGTGAAGGAGATATTACAATACAAGGCGGAACGATGGCTTTTCATCCATTCACCCATGGGATGATTTTAAGCCCTGGCTCTATGCCAGGCACTGAACTTGACATGCGAAGTCAGTTCAAGACCCCACCTTACCCTGAGGATTTTGGAGAGGAGCACAATTAACTGATTCGATCTCCTAAACGTTTTCCAAATTCAATCCCTTGCCTCCCACCGACCCTATCTTAAGCTACTACCCTCTTTCCTCTGCGAGCTTTCTCAGTCTTTGCCTCTGATTCATTCTCCAGATCAGCAGCCCCTACCTAAATGCTCCGCCAAAAAAAATTCAAAATTGATGACTGCCCCTGGCCCAGGCAGTTCCAGTGCTGGCCTGTGAAGCTCAAATCTTCACCTGTAGGGTCTATAATTGTGACTACAGGGAAGTTCCTGATATGTCCTGAGCCTCCTTTGCTTCTTCCATAAAATGGAGATGAAATAGTATTAACAACAACCACACCTGTCTCTCTGAAGAGGCTGGGCTTGCACTATCCACACTCCTCCTCCCAGTGCTTCTCAGTGCTGGTCACTCCCACCTCTGCATTACCCAGTGATAGAAAGCTGCTTCTGTTCACGAACACATCCTTTGGCTTCAAGGCCTGAGACTATTATTGGTGACCCCGTTTAATGAGTCTTTCCCTCCACCTTCTCTGGCTGGGTCTTACTCAGCTCCAGATACAGCATAGGCATTGCCTGCTCTAGGAGCCTTCCCTGAAGCTGCCTACAGGACTGGGTGCCCCTGTGTGGGCCCCCAGAACACCCCGGACTGAATTTGTCTGCCTCCTGTTTCTGTTTGTCTCCCCTTGCTTGAGTGTGGGCTCCTGCCAGGTGGGCAGCCTCTGAATCTCTGAATGAAACTCTTCTTTGCACCCCCACTGTGGACCCCTCCAGTCCAATGCAGGTGCTGGATGCGTCTACTAACCTGAGCAGAACATGCCCAGCATTTTAAGGGAGGTGGCCTTGAGGCATGGGAAGGACATCAAAAAATTATCTTAAAACAAATTGTACACGCACACAATACTCAATTCAGCAGAAACAAAAGGGGTTGCAATGAAAATTAAAAGTAGGTCACCTCTCAACCACCAAGCACCCCTCCCCAGAGGCCACCTTTCATATCAGTTTCTGAGTATTTGATGCAGGTCAGAATTGTCAGTCCTCCCTCCCCTTTTTATTTTGCAAAAATTTAAAGCAACAGAAAAGTTGCAAGAATACCAATTAACATTTTACCACAGTATGCTAATTTACAAGTGTTATATCATTTAATGTTCACATTAATTAATTAATGCCAATTTTGTAGATGAGGTCACTGAGGCACCAAGCAGGTTAAGGGAGTTGCCCGAGGCCACAGAGCTCCTGTGGGTGGAGCTGGGGTTTCCCCCTTAGGCTGTTGAAGAACTTTGATCTGCCTTCCCACAGCTCTCTTTGGAGAAAAAGCATTTTCTTACAGTAAGTTGAAATCCACCTCCCTGGGATATTTACCAGATGATCAGTGGAAAAGTACACAGCTCTGGAAGCATTTGCTTCTTCTCCTCCCAAAACCTCCCCATTCCCTGAGCAACAGCTGCTGTGGCTGCCACTACCACATGCTCCAATGTCACCTCCTCCGTGAAGGTTGGGTTCACTCACCCCCCAGTTTAAAGACTCACCATGACTCCCAGCTGCCAGTGGGATGACACCGGGGCTTGGAATACAAGGCCTGGGTGACCGAGCCCTCCTCCAATGCCTCTTGCACCTTCTTCCCCTGTCTCCACCTCCAGCCACACTCAACCTTCTCTCATTGTCCACTTAAACGTCCCCTCCTCCTTGAAGCCAACCTAAGTTTTCTAAAGAGCGCATCTCCCCCCTCTCTGGGCTCCTGCAACCTTCTGCCTGAGCCGTTGACAGCCTTCTCCAGGTTTGGCCAGGAAGCTGGACAGTGGAGGACGGGAGTGACACCTCGGCCCCTTCCTAGCAGAGTGACCCTGCACAAATTACTCCAGGTGTCTGACCCTTCATTTCCTCAAGCACATCATGGGGGAAAGAATGCCTAGCTCATTACCTGGCAGAGAATCAGCCTTGGCTAATCTCCCATAATGGAGCTGACAGCTCTTCAAGTCCGCTGACGTCTTCTCTTAGTCATCCCTTGAAACACTACCCGCTATTACTACTCTGCTCCTCAGTCTCCCCCTGTGTAAAATGGGGATGAGAATGGAGAGGTTGGGAAACTTTAATGAGCGAGCCCTTGGAGCAGTATCCAGCCCTTCCCGACGCTAAAATGATTCCTACGAGAGGGCCTGGTACACAGTAGGTGCTAAACTAATCCTCTCCGAGCTGGGCTTGGGGAAGATGCCTCCGTAGGATGTGCAGCGTGGGCGCGGGAAGGCGATCCTGGGAGCTAGGGGCTTGCCGAGAGCTAGCCAGAGGTCGGCTCCGCCTTCCCCCGCGGCCCCCACCCGAGCTCCTGCAGCTGTCAGCCCGGCTGGCCTCCGCGCCAGTCCACCAAACCTGAACGTCCCAAGCCGGCGCCCCCACCTTCCCGGAGTGCACAACTTACCTTGCGCTCGGCGGCCCTCTGTCCCGCCCCCAACTTCCATTGGCCCAGGGGTTTCTTTGTTAGCGCGAGTGCGCTGCCGCCATTGGTCTATGGAACTGCCAATCGCGTCGGGCATGGCCCCGCCCCTTACTCCCCGGCACCTCCCCGCGCCCGCCCGGAGTGCGTGAGGCGCTCCGCTTCTAGTTGCAGCGGCTGCGGGGCGCCGAGGGCAGCGGCGGCGGCGCGGACTAGCCGGGCCGGCGGCGACCGGCGCCTGAGAGGCGGGCCGCAGCGGGAGGCAGCGGGCCCGAGGCCGCGTCCATGGGCCCGCAGCTGCCGGGCGGCGGCGGTGCGGTCGGGCGCGGGGCGTCGCGCGCGCTGTGAGGCCCGGGCGGCGTAGGAGCCTCGACGCGTGCAGCGAGCCGCCGGCCGGGTAGGAGGCCCGGCCGGACTTGCGGCGGGGCCGGCGAGGGATGCGGCGGCGGCCGAGCTGAGCCCCGAGCCTGCCGGGAGCGCCAGGCCGCCTGGGCCTGCGCCGCCGCCGCCGCAGCCGCGCCGACCATGTCGGCGGCCAAGGAGAACCCGTGCAGGAAATTCCAGGCCAACATCTTCAACAAGAGCAAGTGTCAGAACTGCTTCAAGCCCCGCGAGTCGCATCTGCTCAATGACGAGGACCTGACGCAGGTGAGCGCCGGGGCCGGCCCGACATCTCTGTCCCGGGAGCCGCGAGCAGGCGCGGCCCAGGCCTGGGCGGGCCGGGGGGCTGGGGCGCCGCCGAAGACTGCGGGAAAAATAAAAATGGAGCAGGGAAATGCGCGAGTCCTGGGGCATGGGGATGGGGACGGGAAGTGCATTGACAGAGCCTAGACAAAGGAAAAATCCTCGAGTATGCCGAAAAATAACATCCTTTCCTGTTCCCATTGCCCGGCTGTGTGTGATTAATGCTTTTTGGGTGACTCAAAAGCGCCCGGGTTCGCTTGGTAGAAACAAAACGCTTGGGGATTGGATGCCATTTGACGGGACCCCCCTCAGAGTCTTGCTTGGGACGGGACTTGGACTTGTCCAGCCAGAGTGGCCCCAGGGGGCGGATTGTTGGGAGAGACTTTGGGCTCCCGTCTAGTGGACCCAGCCTGCCCTGATTCGGAATCGTCATCATCGTCAAGGACTGGATAGAGGTGAAGGGTGTCTGAGTCTGGCGAGGAGGGTCTTGCTCTTGAACTTAGGCTGGGAGGCTGTAGTTGAGGGGAGAGCTGGGACCAGTTCCCTGGTCACTGGCCGAGGGGTGAGGAGACCTGTGGGTCCTCGGGAAAGTTGGTTTCTGTCTCCCAGCCTTCTCTGTCAAACAGGGCTTTGAACTAGTTGTAGCTCCCAAACCTGCATTAGAGTCATAGCCATTAAACAGCGTTCTGCGCCCCCGCCCCCCGCCCCCGTGATTCGGGAGATGGGGAGTTTGTATTGCCAAAAGGCCCCAAGAGGCTTGGCTGCAATCCTCGTGGCCCTCGGGAACCCCTTTGAATTAGAGTTCTAGGATTCTGAGCCCTTGTGTGGGCCTCCTTGGGATGTGCCTGGGTGCCCTCCCCACAGCCATCTTCTCCATCCTCTTCAGGGCTTTCAGCCGCTTGAGTGAGGGCAGGGGAGCTCCCTTCACATTCCAGTCCAGTGTGACCTAGTTGTAGCCACTCCTGTCACAGAAGAACCCCTTAGACTGAAAAGGTTGCTTGAAGTGAACGGGCCTGGTTGTTTTTAATGCTGCTTCAGTGCACCCAGGGTTTGACTTGTTTCCATGGCCAACTGGAGTAGGGTGGTGGGGCAGGGGTTATGGCCTGGGGCGTGGGGCCTTTCTCTGAGGTCAGGTTTCCAACCGCCAGGAAAAAGATTATTTTCATCTAAACCCAAAAGTTTAAGGAAACACTCAAGGCTGCAAATTCATAGATGGTTGAGATACCAAGGGCTTTAGGAAAGGTCTACTTGGGACGGGTAGAACTCAGTTACTCAGTTACCTTGGTGTTCTGGAGTGTAAAGGAGACCTTGACTTATCTCATTTGGACGCTTTTTTTGGGAGAAACAGTTTTTTGTTTTTTTTAAAGATGGGGTTTCACCATGATGGCCAGGCTGGTCTTGAACTCCTGACCTCAGGTGATCCACCCACCTCAGCCTCCCAAAGTGCTAGGATTACAGGCTTGAGCCCCCCCCCCCCCCCCCCCCGCGCCCGGTGGGGCGGGGCAGTTTATGTGATGAGGAGGAGTTGGGAGACTTTGCTTCAAGTATTGGGCTGTCACTTTCACCCATGTGACCTTGAACAAATCCCTTTACCTCTATAGTTTCATTTCCTTATCTGTAAATTGGGAATCCTGGTCCCTGGCTTACCTCCTTCACTGACCATTTATGAAAAGCAGGAAATGATATTTTATTATTTTTCCCTTACAGTTTAACAAACCAAAATATCCTGCCACTTTTAGAAATTTCTGGTCAAGGGTTGTTCTGACAGAGGTTTGTAAGTTTCCTGGTTATTCTAAGCAGTTGTCAAAATTGGTAACTTTACACCTCATAGGGGCTGTTTGTGGATTCTTAAGCTTAGATAAACTAGAATGGAATCTGCATGTTTGAGTACAATCTGCTAAGTTTTTTTTAATAAACTGTTGATTATTAATTGGATTTACTGGGGGAGGCAAACTTAAAATACTGTACTCTCACTGTATTCAAAGATTGAATTGTGGATTTTGAAACAGGCCCGAGACCTTCAGGGCACAACTGGAATGGTAGTTTCTGAAATAATGAGTGGGGTTATTTGTGCTGGGAGAGATTAGCCCAGCCTTCTACCTCCTGGGATCTTGCAGGAAGAAACTGCTCTTGAAAAGAGAGAGAGACTCAGGGCTGTTGCCAACAGCCTTCTCTGCTGCTCTCTGCATCCGCCCCCCCCTCCGCCACCCCCAGCCTCTCACTCTCATCCTTATGGCTCCATTAGAAAACCTCAACCAATCAGTTCCCATGTCTCCCCCAAGTGCCTGCTTCTGCCCCTCCCAGGCTTGAGCTTATTTTAGATGGTCAAAGCTGGAAGATACATCAGCCACCATAGAGGCCACCCCTGTTTAAGTGGAGAGGATACTGGGCCCAGGGAGGTGATGAGCAGCCTTAGCCGGCTTTTGCTCTTGAGATGTCATCTTCCCAGGAGCAGACATTTCTCTGACCTTTCTGGTTTGAGCTTTATTTCCTCAGCTGTGGGTTTTGTTTGTTTGTTTTTCCTCTAGGGAGGCACAGAAACCCCTCACAGGGACTGTATTAGGGCATCAGATCTGGAAGGGACTTGGAGATCAGCTAACATAACCACTTCCTCTTACTGATGAGAAGACTGAAACCCAGAGAAAGAAAGCCACTTGCCTAGTTCAGGGATGGAGCCAGGATTCTGAAGTGAATGTTATTTTTCCTGCTTCTATGGCCGTAAACACACGACGAGGACAGTAATGTCAGGGATGGTTATGTTGCGGAGGGTGCCTTGAGAATGGTAGCTTGGAGCAGAGGAGTTCTTTGCCTTCTCACAGGAATTCAGAGGGATCTGGGATAAGTGATAGGTGACCGTCCTTTATTACTTGTCCCAGGCCCCTGTTCACAGTGGCATTTATCTTCCAGTTTTCCTGTGCATTTCTCGGTGACATATGGACTCAAATATACAGTTAAACCTTTTTGTCCTGAACTGTGTGCATGTATTTGTGCTGTGACATATTTCTTGTTTTTTGCGTAACAGTATGTCTTGGCATTCTTTTCATGGTGTTACATATGAATATGCCAGAACCATTTTGCATATTGGGCCTTTAGGAGTGTACTATAATTTAACCTGTTCCCTTATTGATGGACATCAAGGTTACTTACGGGTTTTGATGTCATATACAGTGAATGTTTCTGCAAACAGCCTTATAAATGCTTTTGGGTATGTGTGCGTGCAAGCACGAATGCAAGTATTTCTCTGAGGGGCAGATACCTATAAATAGAATGGCTGGGTTGACATCAAGTACATTACATTTTTTTCAGATACCACGAAATTGCCTTCCAAAAAAGGCTGTGTCATAACATTTCCAGGTCTGGATATTATCAAATGATTTAATTCTCTAATAATTTTCATAATTACTGGTGAGGTTGAGCCTCTTTTTATAGTATTTACTATTTTTGTTTCTTTTGTGGATTGCCTGTTCCTATTGCTTGCCCATTTTTCTATGAGGTTAGTTTTTCCCCCAGTTGATTTGTAGGAGCTTTTTATAAGTGCTTTAGGTCAAGGGTCTGCAAACTTTTTTGGTAAAAGGCCAAATCGTAAATATAATTTAGTCTCTGGGCCATATGGTCTCTGTGACAACTGTGCAGCTTTGCCATCTCATCACAAAGGCAGCTGTAGACAACACATTAATAAATGAGTATGGCTGTGTTCCAGTAAAACTTTATTTACCAGCAGGGCATGGTGGCTCCTGCCTGTAATCCCAGCACTTAGGGAGGGTGAGGTGAGTGGATGACCTGAGGTCAGGAGTTTGAGACCAGCCTGGCCAACATGGTGAAACCCTGTCTCTACTACAAAAATTAGCCGGACCCGGTGGTACATGGCTATAATCCCAGCTACTTAGGAGACTGAGGCACGAGAATTGCTTGAACCTGGTAGGCAGAGGTTGCAGTGAGCCAAGATTGTGCCACTGCACTGCAGCCTGGGCCACAAAATGAAAACTCTAAAAATAATAATAAATAAATAAATAAATAACTTTATTTACAAAAACAGGCAGCTGGCATGATGTGGCCTGCGAGCCATAGTTTGCTGACCCTGCTCTAGCTGTTAGTCCGATGCTTGCCGTATATTCCAGGTATTTTTTCCCAGAATGTCACTTGTCTTTTATGTGTGGTCATTTTTCTTTTTCATAATATGAATGCAGTTAAGTCTGTTTTCCTTTAGTTTGTGGTTTTAATGTCATTTAAGGCCCACTTTCCAAGATTTGTAAAATAATTTCTCAGATTCTTTTACAGCTATTTTTATGCTTAGCTTTTTAATCTAATCAGACTTGTTTTTTAGGAAAATAATTCTGGCTAAAGGCAGACAATGTACTGGAAGCTATTAAAGTAGGTGAATTACAGTAAAGGGCTTCTCTCCAGATCAGTGCTGGTGAGGATGGAAGGAATCAGACACTAGGAACAGGATGCTGTTGGTTTATCAGAGGTCGGTGTTGAGGAACCTGGGGTAGTTAGAAGTGTACCTTTAACAGAGATTGAGAACAGATTTGGAGTAAATTGGGGGGATGGGGAAGGGTAAAAAATAATATGGTAAGTTTGACCTTATGGAAGTAGAGGGAAGCTGGGTAGAAATTCTTGAGTCTTGGATGTAGAGATGGTTGCTGAAGTAATGGGAGTGAGTTTGAGCGCTCAGGAGTCTGCATAGAGTGAAAGGAGAGGAACCAGCCTAGGGAGCCCCCATGTAGTGGGCGGGCAGAAGGGAAACAGATGCAGAGGCCAGGAGGTGAATCAGAGGGGTGGGCATTAGTGGGAGAAGCAGGTCTGGAACCCAGGGTGCTCAGCTTCCACATCCATGTGGGCCTTCAGTGGGTGTTGATCCGGAGGTGCTGTCTCGTTCTCCTGCTGACTGTGTAACTTCAGGCATTGCCTCTGTGAAAGGAGCCACTGCCCACAAGCCTCTTTCTAGTTCTTTGTGTAGCCCT